TTTTGTACGAATTAACCCGATCGGAAATGTCGGAAGGTGATTTTCAAGGCAAAGACCCCATATATTACCTTTACTACTAACCCTAACATCGTGACTCTCATGCGTTATTTGAGCCAATAAAAAAGGATATTTTTTGTTTTTTTCCTTTTTTGGTTTGTATCACCGGCGCAAATAAGTAAATCGATACCTAAGGCACGCGAGTAATACAAACCCTAAAAAGGAAATGGTCAATCGGAGAGCACAAATTTTGACTATTTCAGATCAGCTCGACATGAATTCCAAACACAAATTTTGACTATTCCGGATCAACCCAACATGAATTCCGAACATGCGCGAAAGAAAAATCTTGGAAACGAAAATTTGCATATAATAGATAATAATCTATTGCTATAGCCTATAATGTTAACGCCCTAATCCTAAACTTCTATCTTTACGCAATTAGTTTATTTACAAAATTCGATTTCTTTTTTTGATTTGTATTACGCGCGCAAATAAGTAAAATCATGCCTAAGAATGGCTCCGAAATTCAAAAAAAGGAAATTAAACCAATAATTAATAATCAAGTGATATTGTTGCAATTTCCTTTTTTGAATTTCGAAGCCATTCTAAGTCATATCTATATAGCAGATCCTATAATTTTCCCGACAAATTATCCCGCATTAGGTTAGGGTTAGTGTCAGTTCCAGTAAATTTTGTTGTCAGGAAAATGATAGAGATCCCCTATAATTCTGTAATTTGAAATATAAATTTATTTATCCTATAGTTCTTATTTATACTTTTTTCATGTTTATTTTCTGGATCTTGAGCTCGGACTAATTTGGATCTTTATTTCTTTTTTCGATCATATTTTTAATACTTCTTATATCTTAATGCTAAAAAAGTCATTGAATTAAGAAGAAAAGAACCTCGTGATTAATAAACACTTCTCTGTATTTATATATAACTGCGTAATGTATAATGGAACTCTTGTAACACAATTAATCTTTATGTGCGTATAGAAGCTATTTACAAATTATGTTATAAATAATGATAAGCTTCATTACCACTACTTAGAGATGCGTATCGGCTCATCGGCTCTATTGATTCATCGGTTTTTATTATACTGAATATACAAGCCGATCGAGCCGTTTAGCATCACTATGAAGTGGTTGTCAATCTTACTAATAGCAGTATTTATCCATGTAATAGAAAAATTAAAAGAATCAACCAGGTATTTGGATTTTCGTGATAGTTTCATATGACATCATTTCGACAAATATTTCAGAGCTAGACGCAATTATTCGTCGATTATGATAAATTTAGTTATAATTTGTGATAATCTCCAAGTTGATTGTCTTTCTTTAATTCGTGACTAAAAATTATGCTCTCTAACGTTAGTGCTAACACTATATGCGCGGTATTCTTGCATCTTTGTTTACAAATTAATTCATGAATTATCATTGGTACTGTATAACAGCTAACCAATCAATTATGGCTAATTTTCAATAAGTGGGTCAATGCAATTTTTGTGACACCCAATTTAAGTTAGCTTTTTTTAGAAATAAAGTTATTGGGTATTATATACACATATATATATAGAATCAAATTCTGCAAAAAATTATCGTCTAATTTTCCTTAAAAAACCTTATATACATAATCTACGTAATAGTTTGTCAACATGTTGCCTTTCAAAAGAACTTATGAATCTACCATGGATTCTGAAGATATCCGTAATATCGAAGAAATGGGATCCAATCAACTTTTTTGTTCGCAACAGGTTCAACCACGTGATTTTTTACAGTTTCAACAACAAATTTTCTTTAATTCTCACTTATATGCTCAAGATGATTTATCTGCAATGAGTGATTTTGAATTGTATTCTCAAATTCAGCCTCCAACATCAATATCTGTTAATGTATTGAATCCATCTTCATCTACTGCAAGTATTGACGATAAATCATCTTTAACGTCTGAAGAATTTCAACGTCTCAAGAAAATCGTCGATATATTTATGAATTCAAATAATTCTAAAAATACTACCAACAAGAATTCAAATTCTATTATCCTCAATTTGCCAATTTGTGTTGATGAACAAACTGATATAAAATCAATATCTTCTCCTTTAAATTCTTTAATTAATCCCACTTATCCAAATTATTATTATTTAGTTGATTTGATTTTAAAAGTTAGTAAAATTATGAACATTAGGATTAATTCTCCAAACTCAACTTTTTTAAGTAACCAAATAAGATCCCCAAAAATGACTATTTGCCATATAAACGATACAAAGGGCATTCCCACTTCTAGTCCATCGGGACTTTTAATAAATCCTCCGTTAAATGATCTTTGTAAATGTTTGATAAATATTTATTTTACAAAACATAATATTATCACTCCCCTTATTGATCCAAAGAAATTTAATGATCAATGTGAAAGAAAAAAAACAAAACATTTTGAATTGTTGATTCATTCTATTTTAGCTATGGTTTCTGCAAGATATCCTCATGATCCTTCTTTAAAACAATCTTCGACAAGACCAGGTGGTATTTTCTTTGATTCTGCAAAGGTATGGCATATGTATAATATCTATAATATCTTTTTTAGATCACATAATTATGTATCTTATCAAAAATATATTATGCTTTATTGTAGAAATTATTGGATACAATGTATGATATTCCAAGATTGGAAACTATACAATCATTATTACTTTTAAGTATGTCTGAAATTGTTCCATCAAGATTCGATAATGGTTACATGTTTCTTGGCATGGCCAGTAAGTAGTTACTTTTAATTTTATGCAGTGTAAGAATTTTACACATGTATTTTTTTGAAAATTATTAAAATTATTTAATTCAATCTTAAAAAAAATAGTTCAAATGGCACATCTGTTACGCATAGATGTAATCGATGATTCTTTGGATCCTGGTGAAAATGAAGAAAGGCAGAGAATTTACTATTGTTTATATATCCGTGATAGGTATTTATTATTTTATCTAATATAGGTCATACTTTAAATATAAATATAGCAATAAAAGTATATAATGTTGTCAATTTCATTAGATGGCATTCAATCCTTTTAGCAAAACCTCCTGTGATCGATTTTGTGGCCAATCGAGTTCCTTTACCAAAATTAGCTTCATTTTCTCAGTTAGTTAAGGATCACTTTATAGCGTTTGTAGAACTTTCGCATATTCTTGGACGTATTTGGACTTTCGGTTATTCTCCTAGTTCTAAACCTTCATGTGAAGATTGGCGCCATCATTTAGCAAATCCTTTAAGTGATCTTATGAAAATACGTTCTTCATTAGCAAATTGGTTAAAAAAATTACCAAACACGTTACAGTACCTTTATCTTCCTGCTACGGATTTGAGAAGTATTTATCAACTAGCAAGCTTTTCGGATTTTACCGGTAATTTACCTTATTATGTTAATAAATCGTGTTATATTTATAATTTGGATATCCTTATAATAATTTTTATTGTTGATTAGGATTTATAAATATGCTTTTTCATACTTGCATAATTCTTGTCCATAAACTCTATATACCAATACCTCAACCACATACAAATCAAAATCATAAATCATTACAACACAGCCCAATTCAAATTTGTCTCAATTCAGCTATCGCAATTATTGATATTGCAAAAACAACTCGAGAATTCGACGCTGATGCATTTTATCACTCTCTGTTTCCAATATATTCATTATTACAAGCTACAACAATACAACTCGTTATTATGAATATATCAAAAGAATATGAATCATTAGTCAAATTAACATTAGAAAATTCAATCAAAGAAGTAAAATTGATTTCTAAGCGTTGTGGACTTAGTGTATTACAGGATGCAGTAAATGAATTGGAAAATATTATAAAAATTACTGATGACTTGAAATTCACAGATGAATTCTCTCGATTATCGGAATTTCAAGATGATCGTGACGATGATAATGATGAGGCAGGTTCTTCAAGCCAGTAATGTTTCTTTCTTTCTCGAGATTCATATTTCAACTTATATTTCAAATTCGACTTACAAAGATAAAAATACGATTGTAGCTATCAATATCATTGTTATGTACTAATACTGTAATATTAATTAATCAATTCACAAGATTCTGCATGTAAAAAATGAAAGCGTAAATAAAATAAATAAAAGTTAACTGTTTAACCAAAATAGGGGACGTTAAAAGCAAGATGTATTAGAATTACTTTTTTGATGCAGTAATAGTGATAGTAAACGCACCTTGCTTTAATTGACCCAAAATAGGTAATGATTATCATCCAGTAATTGAATATTTATCATTACCTATTTTGTGAGATATTTATTTATTTATTTATTTATTTTTTTATATTAAGGTGAGGTCATGCCTCTGGTTTTTATTAACATATACTTATTGTGACAAGTTCTTTACATATATGCTAACGCATTGGTTTAGGTCGCAGATAAACTAGTTTGAGTTTCTTTTCTTGTTATTTTAGAATATGGAGTTTAAATGTATTCTTTTCATTGTAAGAGAATTGAATTAAATTTCAATAAAGATAGAGACATGGTTTTACCATTAACATTCAAAAAAAAAAATATATGCTAACACATCACTACAAAGACTTAAACTAATTTATCTACAATCTAAACCTACTAGAGTATTATGTACTCCACATATGTCTCACCTAGCTTTGCGCTTTCTAACTAACTATTTTTAGTAATACCATATTCTCCTCACATCTCACAAAACCAGTCATAACTTTCAATTTGGTATATCAGATGTCTGCTCCTAATGAGCTTCCAATTTAATGTATTTGTAAGCATAATTCACTGCAAGTTCCCACTAAAGTATTTTATTTGTACAATCATGATTGATGCAGATAGTCTTCCTACAGCCTCATATTTCAAGTCAGAATTTGCTGCCTAGTTAGGTTCATCACATGATTGAGTTGGTATTATATTATTAGATTAAGGATTTATCTTGGGTTTGTTCCACACCATTTACATAATATACCTTTCAAAGGTGGTTATATCATGTTAACTCTTGTTGAGTATTATTCTTTCATACAACTTTCACATTCTATGAATAATTAATTTTTCTATTTATCTGTTCAGATACTATTAAACCATATTTCAAGCCAAGCTCTGCTGTTGCTGCTAGTTTGTCAACTCTAAAACTTAACATTTTTTTTTTAATATAGTAGTACCAACTAATTCATTTGTATTTCCTCATATAGTATATTACCAGAATCATATTGTGTAGCTGCTTTAATAATCTATCTTGTTAAAGACCAGCCTAACATCATGAAATTCATTAAGTAGCAAATAGTTCTACTTCTAACTGTAGACCTTGTGTTATATTACTAGAAGGTGTATCCCAATTCACCTTAACTTCCAACTTAATTCTTTATTATTAGTTGATGTTGTATTATTGTTGGTATATTCTGATTTCTTTTATCAAAGACTTCTATATAGATATAATTAGAGCTTTGATTTGGTGCCTTTAGATATACTAGATTAGCTAGTTTACCTTTATGAAATTACCTTCTTTAGCTAGTTGTTTTTCACTGCCAGAGGTGTTTCTTGTTTTGATAAGACCAATCTTTTACTATAGCCCTTTCACATGTTCATTACTTCTTTTACCATTCCAGTTTTAGTAATATTGTATTACTCTCTTAAACAAATACTCAACACCATTTCCAAATTAAAACTAATATATATTATCTAGAATTCACCAGGGCGACCACTTTTTTTTACAGATTATGTGATGATCAACAATAAATTAACTAATAATAAATCATAATCTTGTGTAATATAATACAATCAGGAAAATTCAAAACAAATGTTTGATCCATAAAACAGGGGGTCGCCCTGCGAATCCCACAATCTATTAATTATCCTTCCAAGCAAATACTTTACAAATTGTATACAAGAATGTTGGTATTGCCTAATATGGAGATGAAGGGATGTTGGTGTTGCTTCTGAGTTATCCTAACTAAAGGACTAATTCGCACAAACTTTTACAATTTAGACTTTTTGTGATGCCACTATTATATATCAACAAAAAATATATACGAAATATTGCGAAAAAATTTGCAGTGCCAAAATATTTTAAAATTATTACAATCAACACGAAATATTCTGAAATAAATAATTTCGAAAAATTTTGAAAATTATTTCAAAATATTGCAAAATAATTTGTAATAATTTGCAAAGTGTTTAATTTAAAGCATTTAAAAATCTTTCAAAATATTTCGAAATATTTCAAAATAATTTGAAATAATTCGAAATAATTCGAAATAATTTGAAAGAATTCAAACTAAATAAAATTTAGGAATATACAATTTTTAAATATACGAATTTTATTCTATTTGTTATTTTCGAAATATTTCAAATTATTTCGAATTAATTTAAATTGTTTATTTACTTTTTTTTTTACAATTAATACTTATATTTCACAATATTTTATTTATTTATTTTAATTTATATTCTAAATTTTCGAATATTGTTAAAATATACATAATAAAAGCAAATTTATTTATTTTTATTATCATAATATATAATATAAATAAAACAAA